TTTCTTTTTTCCCATCATCATTGAATGTCAAAAGATATAATATTATGTAATATTAAATAAGTTTTATTAAATCTAATAACAATTAACATTATATATTGTTGCATAACAAGTCTAGACTTATTCAATATTGATTTTAATGTTGAATTTTTTCCCACAGGCACATTTTTCCTCGAATAGATACTTTTCTAGATACACCCAAAGCATTATCTAGGATTTTTTCAAATTCAATATCATCCAAATGATTAAATTGATCTGGTTCAGGGTGTAGACCGCCATCATCATAATTTTCATCAACTATTTTTACCAAATCTGCTTGATTATTTTCATCCAGTTTTGGTAAATTTTCATATGAATCACTTTTCACAATTTCATCTAGCCAATCAAACAACTCATTATCACCTGCAGAAATCGATAGTTTATCCTTACTTAAATTACTAAGATAATGGTGGATCAATTGACAATTATTTTTTTTTCTTTATTCAATTTCTTAAATACTGAAATCTTATCAATTAAATCAGCTTGATTTTAACGAATTGAGAGATAAGATTCGCACGTCATTTTTGCAAAGGGTTAAAATGGAAATTGATTTTAATTATCAAACAAGATTTAGCAATTAAGTTATGGAAATTAACCCTGAGATTTTTCAAGAACCAATTGAGTTAAAGGGTTAGAATATATATCAATCAATATTTTCATTCAAGATTCTTCAATCACTTAACTGTGTAAGTTCACAAGTATCACATTCTGTGTAAGTTTATATTAATATCAGTTAAAATGCCAAAACACATCAATAAAATCAAAAAACTTAATAAAAAATGGCAGAAGTAAAATAAATGAAGAAAAATTATTTAAAAAGTTCGGGTGCAAGCCCCTACAAGTGATGCTTCCCTTTCATGAGGAGTTTCGGAAACTTTCGAACGATTGATACAATCCACCAACCTCAAAATCCGGTTCATCTCCCTCTGCATCATCATCAGTTTCTCGACCACTTTCCACTGTCCCTTCAACATCATCTTCACTGGAACCAGCATGCAATTTCACCTTCCTCTATCCCTACAATATCATCTTCGCTGGAATCAGCATCTTCAGTTTCCTTAACTTCAACTTTATCTTCACCTTCCACTTCGTCAGCTTCTTCAACTTCAAACCCGATAAAGCCAGCTATAAAACCTTTATTTTCACCTTCTTCTACCCCTTCAACATCATATGAGATTGGTAAGGATAAACTATCGATTCCTGCAGGTGATAATGAGTTGTTTGATTGGCTAGATGAAATTGTGAAAAGTGATTCATATGAAAATTTACCAAAACTGGATGAAAATAATCAAGCAGATTTGGTAAAAATAGTTGATGAAATTTATGTTGATGGCGGTCTACACCCTGAACCAGATCAATTTAATCATTTGGATGATAATGAATTTGAAAAAATCCTGGATAAGGCTTTGGGTGTACCTAGAAAAGAGTATCTATTCGAGGAAAAATGTGCCTGTACGAAAAAATTCAACATTAAAATCAATATTGAATAAGTCTAGACTTGTTATGCAACAATATACTGGGTGTATCAATGATATATATCAACTTTCAGAAGCTGATTGCTCAGCAATGGCTCTAGATAGAAATTTGTCCTTAAAGAAATGTCACCTTATAGAAAAAATGTCAAATTTTAGTATGGCGCTACTTTGGTTTCAATCAAAATCAGTTATCATGAAAGTGTTCGTTACCAAAAAAGCAAAAGTGGCAGATTTTGCTGTGCGAATTTTCAGGTCAATTTTTTTGCGGCTATATTAAACTTCAAAAAATTATCTTTCTGATGCTGTATCGCAGCATGATTTAAAATCATGTTTTCATGGCTAAATCTGGGCTCAAAGTTGGATATTTCTTCCATTGAAACTCAATGGTAAAAATGAAAAAATTCAGATTGCTAGTGAAATGCAGTTCTCTCAACGCTATATCGAAGAAGAAACTTTTTTAAGTCTTTTAACTTTTCCAATAATTTGATATATTAACGAGTTATGTACTGAAACAATTGTCATCGAAAATTGAATTCTTTTGAAGATTGCCACGTTTTCATTGAACTGAGTCATAAGTTAAAATAATGGTTCGAGTCATTCGAGTTGCAGATACGATTTTCATTCATTTTCATTCCAACTTCCAAAGCAATAACATCATAAAAATGATCAGATATTCAGGACCTCAAAAAGCGAGAATTTGTGAGGAGTACGCAGCAAACGGCTTTACAATGCGCTCGACTCAAAGATCTTTGCGAAGAAAATATGACATCAATCCTACGCATGTAACTATCCGTAGGATTTATGACAATTTTCTGCAAAATGGATCGGCGAGTCTTCCGCGAGGAGGTAGTGTAAGGAGCGTGCGAACTCCAAATAATATTAGAAAAGTTAGAGAGGCAGTGCAGGCATTGACATTGGAGGAAAGGCCGTCGTCAATTCGTAGAATTGCCAGGGAAGTCAATATTCCTCAAGCTTCAGTCCATCGAATTTTGAGAAAAGATCTCAAATTCAACCCATACCATCAAGAGCTGAAGGAATCAGATTTTGAAAAAATTCAACATTAAAATCAATATTGAATAAGTCTAGACTTGTTATGCAACAATATATAATGTTAATTGTTATTAGATTTAATAAAACTTATTTAATATTACATAATATTATATCATTTGACATTCAATGATGATGGAAAAAAAGAAAGGGAAAAAGAAAGAAGAAAAAAAGCACGGTTAGCGCCAAGGAAAATTGCGCTATACTGTGCTTTTTCTTACTACTCGGGCGTTTTTTTCATTTTACGCCTTCATGCAGACATACATGTAACTCACGAACAATTAGTGCTGCATACCTCAGATTTAAAGTTAGCTTATGCAGATTGAACCAGCATAAATTTGAACACTCATGGTTATTCAAGGTTAATTCTTTCTTTTACCTCTAAATGACATTAGGAGGTTATTTTCTGAAACCGCGGAATTTTTTCTCCGAAATTCTCTTCCTTTACTCACTCTGAATATCATTGTTAATTAAAACAAGTAGCTTCACTCTTTTTCAATTATTTTAACTAGTCTGGTAAATTATTATAATTATTATACCGGTCTTATTTCATCATTTACGCCTGTTTTCACAAACGGTTGCTGCTTCAAACCATGAGCTTACGCAGATTAGAGAACCATAAGCTCGACCCTCAAGGTTGCTGTGTACAATAATCTTACAATTGTAACATTTTCATATACTGGGCGTTCGCTTTCATCCTTGACCATCGTTTGTGCCAATTCTGCAGAAGTTAGATCGCTATAATATTCAGGCTACAAAATTTGTGAAATTGAAGAGCCATAAAGGATCAAGGAAATTCAAGGTCATTCAGTTATTTGACTGAGTTGCATGTTGAAAACACATACCGTTGTGAAAATAAACGAATTTTCACCCGAAAACATGCACTGTCTGAACGGTGCTTAAAGGCTAAATTTTACAAAACACTTAATCAACATAAGACGAGCGTCAGCCGATCTGGATATGTTTAAAATTCAAGAAAATTGCCTTCAAGAGTTAATCGAAGGTCACATGACTGAATGACCTTGAATGGATTAATGATTGCTCAATTTCGGAAATTCTGCTGACTGAATATCTGACTTCGTGGTCAAAAACTATTAGCAAAAACGACCACTAAGGATAAAATGAACGCCCATTATCATAATATTTTATGTAAATTAGTTCTGCTGTTTTAACCTTTTCGGTTTTTCAAATGAAGTTTCCTACCAAAAACAACCGTAAAATAATCGATCTGTGTTGGTTCGATGTTCGGCGAGTAACACTCGGGTAACTTCCCTTGTAATATAAATAGAATTCATAAATGGAGTCTAATCTATGTTCAAACTTCGAAAATGTTCTTACCAAAAACTTGAAATTTGTCAATTCTATGTCTCTGGAAGTCAATCAAGTTAAAACTCTCAATGCAGAGTAAATTTTTGCTCTCATTAAATATCCAACAATATCATGTCATCAAACTAAACAAAATTGTCTTTTTCACAATTCCTCAAAATACGGGTGCAACGCTTCAGCGCACCTCGTCCTAACCCAAATCTTGAGTAAGCTTAGGCTATTTCCAATGCCAACCCATCAGGTTTCGTAATTTTCGTAGAACCTTTTCAGTTTGTTTACAACCTCAAAGGAAAAATTTGCTGTACTCTCTTGTACAAATTGCATGTATAAATTGGATTCATGTTTTAATAATTTTCTCCATTGCTCTGATCACAGATTCAGCTCATTTCAACTCATCTGGTTAATGCTCTTTTCAACAACTTACTTTTCGCATTATTAATTTTTCAACCAAAATTTCCGACTCAATCATTTCCTGATCATTTTTCATTGATCATTCAATTTAATGTCCAGCAAAGTTAAGAAGAGTCAAGAAAAAACAGAAACCTCAATTTTTTGGCTTCTTCACAAAACTAATCATTTCAAATTTCCGGTCTCAATTTTGATTCATAGTTGTCATTATGACCACAACTGATCATGACAACAATGAATCCATCTGAATTGTTCAGAACAAGAAGAGAATTAAGATAAACCAAGAAAAAAAAGCTGCAAGATAAAAGTAAAAGAAAAATAAGTTTCTCTCAATGGCAATTGTTGAAAGATGAAAATGAAAATTCATTATCAAATTTCCGTTCCATCATGAGTCAAAAATGTAAAAGGATAAAAAAAATCTTGATAAACGTCAATTGATTAACAATTAGATCAACAAGAATCAACAGAGTCAAGGCAAACAAGCCAAAGACAGGCAAGTTTTCAAGTGAAAAAAGGAAACAGTTTATCATCAAGTTTAACAGCGTAAAAGGCAATCCAAATGATTATAAATAATAGCTTATTATTAGATTAAGCTGCAATATATTGTCAGCTAATTGAGCCACATAAATTGTTAAAAAAAAGATAAAAGTTAATCGTCTTAAATAATCATGTTCAACTGAAAATTGGGAGAAGAGGAAAAAAAGATTTTGGCATTTCCAACATTTACTTACATTGAACTCGAAGGAAAAAATGATTACTTCGACCTTCTCCAACTGAATTGACAGCAATGCACTGATAGTTACCACGATGTGACCTCTTAACCTTTTGCAGGACAAGAAAGTTGCCCGACACGATGAGCCCATCAGAAAGATTACTAATGACGGACTTATCATTAAAAGTCCAAGTTATCTCAAAAACTGGCGGACTAGCAGTTACATTACATTCCAGGATTACATCGATTCCTTCCCTGATATTTTGCGCATTCAAATTGGCACCAAGGTTTACTGAAACTTTAGGTTTATCTGCATCAATGAAACAATTAAATATTTAGAAACAGAATCGTTAACAAATTCAATTAACGCAAAAATGAAACAGTTGAGTAAAGAGTGGATAAAATGCGTAAAAAACAATCAATAATGTATTCCCATTTGAACAATTAAAGTTCGATTAACACCATCATTAATCAAATGACAATTAATAAGATATCTAATGAGCCATGTTTCAATCGCTCTTCAAGACTCTTCTGAAAAGAGACTCAGGCTTGAATTTGGATTTGAAAGTTTCTTGAATAGTTACATTTTACTTGTTAATTGAATGATGAAAATTGAAAAAAGTTGGGATTAAATGAGTTGAATATTTGTAATCAGAAAATGAAATTTTATACACTTTTTTGTTCTTATATTTCGCTTGTTTCATTACGACTTGAATCGTTTGCTTTTACTATTAATTAAAAATAAGTTTTTTCTATTAATTATATTTCAACAATTGAATTCATTAAAAGTTGAATCGAAACAAGGCAGACTGGGAGTAAATTTGATTCCATAAGACTTTAATCATGGATTGAGCATCTGCTCATCTTTCACTTGGAGAACTGAGTTTCTCATTTTAGTCTGCTTCCAGACAGGTTTCCTTTGAAAGGGTTGATTAGTTTTAATTGACATTTACCATGAAAATGTGTAACCTTTAATTATCGATAAATATTTACTATTCATTGTGTAATAACAAGTTACAACACTTTGGATAGACAATGGAAATGGTGAAAAGGAGAAAAAATATCATCGGTTGTTGCCTAAACAATCAGGTCTGGCTCAAGGAGATTATTAGAGTTACCATCAAGACAGTTTCGCATTTTAATCAATTTTTTGTCTTCAACAAAATTCTGATATGAATATCTAGTGAGATTTAATTTTCAACCGCAACTTTTCAAGTAACCCTGATCCACTAGACGCTCAGCAGTCAACATTGCCTTAAACAGGATTAAACAAGCCTAACATGTAGCCTTGTCAGGGATTGAGTTGCACCTTTGCTTTTAACTTACAGTTTTCAAAGTCTAATCCAATCATCATCTTTCCCTTTCTTTAACAAAAGTTGATTCCAATGCCATTCAAGACTCATCTTCAAAAACCTTTTTGATTGGAAAATAAGGAAATTTCGAGCCTCGAGATTATTCAGATTATTTGTCTTATAATCTCAGATCGATGCTTCAGACTTCAAGAAAGTAACAAGTCCAAAAAAGATTAAGATCAAATGCTGACAACTTTAGTTGGAAAAGCAATCATCATTTAACCGTAATTGCCAACGCAAAAAGTCCATACTGAGTAACGTCCCATTCAAAAATGATAGATTTCATGAGCTATTTATGCAAAGAAGCGATTCTCAATTTGTCTAAAAAACTCAAGAATGACGATTCTTAACGAAAATTCTTCAGAATTCAAGGAAAAACTTGAAATAATAGTTTTTAACTGTTCCTTAAACATTGCAGTTCAATGATAATCTTCAAGTCACTTGTTTTGTTCACTTTGATGAAACAGCCAAGCATGTTGTGATGCTTTGATCAGACCTCAAGCTCTTGCAAGTCAACTTTATGCTATTCACTCGACTACAATGGAGTTAAATCTTTAATTTAATTTAATCGTTTATACTTACGATGTTCAAAGTGACCAAATATCTTTACTGTTTGTTTATTTTGTAACAACAAGCTTGATCAACTTTATACTTCTTTGTTGCCTGGGAAGGTAAACTGTTGGATGTAAAGTGTCAAGGATGCAACTTGAATTGTGTTTGGTTCAATTTCAATTTTATTTTAAATTTTTGTTTTCTCTTCTCATCTGTTCAAGAATTGAATTTTCTGCTTTTATATTTAACTCTAACATTTTAGCTTATTTTTAAACTGTACTGATATTTACATTGACTATTTGACTGTGTCAACAATAAATAAACTTTACTTGAATCAATTTCGGTTTTTTCTCATCATTCCAATATCAATATTAACATTGTACTCTGAAATGTATACAGTTGAAGTGGTGAAAAGTTTAAATTTTACTCGAGAAAACCATTAATATCAATTTGATCTTTACTTTCATTGATCGTAGCAAATGCATGAACCAGTAGGACAAACGATCAGCTTTTTTACTGGATTCACTTAAACATGCAAGGTTAAACTGTTGAACTACAATTTCATTTCAAGTGAAAAGTTCAACTTTTATTCGATTTTGTTAACTGGTCCAACATTCAAATGTTTGATTATTGATTGTTTAGGTGTGAAAAAGGGAGAAGAAAAGAAAAATATTTAATTTACTTACGAACAACTTTAAGTGAAAATAGTGAATTTCGAGTTTTATCATCTCTAAAATCAACTCTGCACCGATATTCGCCTTCATCTTCCATCTTTACAGATTCAATGATAAGGGAAGGCGGTGAGGTTGTCTCATTGAGGTACATCCGGGTATCATTACCGAACCTTTTGGCTTGTAGAAAGGGCACTTCACGAGCATCAAGACTGTAAAAAGGCACTTTGAGTCCATCCTTGTAAAATAACATTAAGCTAACAGTATCGTCACCCCAACCGGAGACGTTACATGAGAAGGCAACGATTCCACCTAAAGTGGCAACATATTGAGATAAAACTAAACCCAGAAACAGTCACATATCAGGATGAATAAAGTCCAGTAAAGCAGTCCAGATAATTGGTAAGATGAAAGTAAAAGTGAAAAAATGAACATTTAATTAGTTATACTAAATAATATTTGAAACTTTATGGCGGTATAACTTGATCATGCTTGCCTCAGAAGCATTGAGCTCCAAATTTTGAGAAAACTCAAGAGTTGAAGATAAAAGCACTCAGCACTCATTTAAGGGCATAAGTTTTGATAACAAAACAATCAATTTCGTTTAATGTGAAAGGATGGACTATCGGCGTTTTTTTGTATTATGTTTTGAGTTCAAATCATCAAAAAGCAATCGAGTGAACTTGAGTCAGTTTGGTAAATGATCTTAACATGAATAATTTAAAAAAGTTCTGATTGAAAAAAAAGTGAATGTCAAAGTGTCTAAATTGTAAATTGAAAAAGAATCGGGAAAAAATAGAAATTTGCAGTTTCTTGTGTCTTCACAACTCAACCTGATAAGTTGAATAAATATGTACAGAATAAAGTTGAATTGGATTGATGATAATTGAATGGTGAATGATTTCCATTTGTTGAGCTGTGAAATATTGCAACCAATTTGCTTGAAACTCATTATCATCTGTATATCAACTTGAATACAATCTTTCATTGCATCTCAATATGACTATAAAAATAGTGATAATATTGTGGTATCTTGAGGGTTGAAGAACGCAAAAAAAGAGCTAACAAAAGACATTGTTGAGATGCTAGTGAAAGTGGAATAGCAAGAATGGTGAAAAGATGAATCTTGGAATTGTATTGAAAAAGAAAGAGTGCAAAAAACTGAGAAGATTCTGAAGATGAGAAAAAAAGTCATCACAGGGAGTGAAAATTGGGAGTAAAAGAAATTGATTGTCAGAGTTTTTTGAGTGCAAAAGAGGGTGAGATGAACAAGCTGATCAAGGAATGAAAAAGAAAGGAAAAGTGGAAAGATGTGAAAAAATGGCTGTTAACTGATACTTACCAATCTTGTATGATATATCATAGCAAAATATCAAGGAGAGAAATCGAAGAATCATTGCCCATGAAAAAAAGGAATCGTTTTGTGTTTCGTTTTCGTCTTCTTTTTCCTTTTCTTTTTCGGCTTTTCTTCCCTTTCCAATTCCACTTTCACTTTCTTCCTTCCTCCTCCTCCTCCTCCTTCACTCTTCCTCTCACCCTTTCACTCACAATTTTCACTCTTTCCTGAGAGCAATATATCAACGTAACTTCACCCACTTTGTTCACCAATTATTTTACGCCTTTTCCTTTTCCAATTTGATGGAACAAGAAAAAGATTGAAATTTTGAAACCAACAGCAAAATAAGGTTCAATCTGTGAGAGTAAACAAAAAAGGGTTAAATTTAATTGAGTAAATAGAGTAAATTTGGCGAGTAAAATGTTTGATTCAACAAATTCAATTTCATTTTTTTCTTTGAAAAAAAAGAAAAGAAAAATTTCTCAAAATTTCCATTTAATTATAAACACAAAACTCGAGTCAAAAGACAACATTTCCTCAAATGTTAGATCAACTTGGAAGCTCAATGAAACAACATTGTCTCATCAACTTTTATTCAAAGCTTAAACTCTTTTTATTAACCCATCGTTCAACTTGATTGAGACAGTTTTTATTACCGTTAAAAGGTTGTCAAAGTTAATTACCAAGTTGCAATTGGAACCACAAAATCAATTGATTGCAATAAAATTGACTCTCAACATTCCCTTTCATCTACAAACACATTTATAGCAGTTGAAATGACCTGCAACATGTTCATATCGAGACTTTCAATGTTATATTTTCCCACTTCTCATCAACATTGGAGATTCAATATCAATCACATTCAGCTTTGTAGAGTTCGTTTTCGAAAGTAAATTTTATTCAAATGAAAAGAGTAAGAAAAACTTGTTTCTACAATAGAAGGATTGCCAACTGGCTTAAAGTAAAACAAAAGTTCCTTTTTAAAGACCTTTGAGTCCTCGTTGTGGAGCGTTAAGGGTTATTCGGATGGATTAGTGAGGTATTCTGGCTGAGATTTACTTTTACTTAAAATGAGTACTTAAAATGAGATCTCAATGTGAGCGCTCTCAATGAGCTCTCATATTGAGCTCTCAGGTTGAGCTTTCAGATTGAGCGCTCATAATGAGCCCTCAGGTTGAGATTTAGCTTAGATTGCTCCATTTGGGATTTAAACGAGAAAAATAAGGCTCGGAACAGTTCATCTCCCCCTACTCATCCAAGTCACGACTCCGTTCGTGATACAGTGAGATGTTCGATATATGAGCAATTTGTTCCTTTCCATTGTTGTCTACATAGGTCAGCGTTTTAGGATTATCTCCATACTTTTTAATTTTCGTAACCAAAAAAGGTCCTTTCATATTTCGCTTCTTTCCATTAATTCCGTATTTAACGAGAATCTTATCTCCTTCTGAGATTTCAAACTTTCCTTGTTTTCTCTTGTCGTTATGCTGCCTAATCTTTACCATTTCATCTTCATTCTTTGGTTTCTCCGGTGCGATATTTTCAAGTCTTAATCCAAAATTTTCATCAGCAGGCAACAATGGGCTTTTGCCATACAGTTTATACCAAGGTGTGCAGCCAATTACTGAATGATAACTTCGGTTAGAATAAGCAGTAGCAGATGCCAATAGCGTCTTCCAATCGACTCCACTGTCTTTGTAGATACCAATAAAAGTTTTAATGTCACGCATTTTTCTTTCAACAAGTCCATTTGCGGCCGGATGATATGGTGCACTATTTCTAAGAGAAATATTTCTCAGTTGAGCCCAGTTCTTCATCTCTTTTGAAGTAAATGCCGTTCCATTGTCTGAGACAATAACTTTAACTTGGTCGATTCTGCTAAATGAATTCAGAAAATTAATTACAGCGAGGGAAGACTCTTTCATAGCCTTACCAACCACGATACGAGTCGCCTCATCAACTAAAAGCAAGAATGATTTGGTACTTTTGTTAAGTTCTGACTTCTTCTCAAGCTCTCCAAAGTCAATGTGGATAGTATGGAAGGGAATTTTTGAATGGTTAGGTAGGAATGGAGGGTCAAATTTGGGTTTGGGTTTTTTCATTTGGCAAAGGTGGCAAGTTTTTATGTATTCAACAATATCTCGTTTCATACCTGGCCAATGGAAACGCATTTTTATCTTGTGATATGTTCGCCAATATCCTCCATGACCTCCAGATAGTCTATCATCATGATATGCCCTCAGAATTTGGGATCTTTCTGAGCCTTCAATCTTTTTAATACCTGAGCACTCATTTTGAGAACTATTTTTGAGATCTCTATTTGAGCTCTCATTTTGAGATCTATTTATGAGATCTCTATTTGAGCTCTCATTTTGAGATCTTGTCCGAATTGATGATAAGTAGCTCTATTTGAGCTCTCATTTTGAGATCTTGTCCGAATTGATGATAAGTAGGTGGAAAGAAACACATGAGCTGGCTGATCTAGACAAAGTCGTGATAATGCATCGGCATCAGAGTGTAGTCTGCCTGGTCGATGGTCAATTTTAATCTCATAAGACATTAAAAATAATTGCCATCGTGCCAATCTTCCTTTTGGTTCCTTCAAGTCCATGAGATAAGCAAGAGCTGCATGGTCAGTATGAACAACAAAAGGACGACCTTCTAAAAATGACCTAAAATATTTTATGGCTTTGATCACAGCAAGCGCTTCTTTCTCAGTTATTGAATAGTTAACTTCTTGTTTTGAAAATGTATATGATTGGAAACCTATCACTCGCAGCTGTTGATTTTTCGGTTTCTTAATATCTCTTTGATACAGCACTGAGCCAGAACCAAACCCACTCGCATCAGTACATAACTCGAA